CCACGTCACAGCTGTTGTAGCGCTAGCAACTCTATATGTACCCCTCTCCATGTACTCTCAAAGCAACGAAAACACTGTTAATCTTCAATAACTACCAAAGGAATTAATCTTTAGTTACCACCAACACTTCACGTACGGTTGTTTCTAGACACAACTTTCAATGCCCTTTGTTGCATTTTGCCTAAGCCCTTTCTCGATGGATCAACTCTCATGAATTCTATCCGCCGCTTGATTTGCTTCTCGCCTGAATGCACATGCCAATTTTTTTTCTCACACGTAGCTCCGCCTCACTCGCGTTCAGCCAACACGGCTTCCTGCTTCCCACAGCGCCTCTGTCCCCGAACTCTACGAAAAAGGGTTTCCCCCGCTTTATAAATAAAGCAACCATCACCGAGCAAGTCGATACAAACACACACCCCACATCAACACAACACACACACCCAAGGCAGATACAAGGATGCTGAAAACAGCAACATCACCCCAAACTACACTCCAAGCAAACATTGAATAAAACCCTACGCACTACTATGAAGTCGTCGGGGTCCTCAACCGTGGAAGAATCACCGCGACGAGAAGCCATGAATAATGAACAATGGGCTCCAAGGCGGTGCCTTCAAGAAGGGAACAACACTGGATCACCGCCACCGCCCAATCCAAGGATTAGGGTTTCCCCCGGAGCACCACGGTTACATGCAAGATACCGCGACGACGCCTTCAAGAAGGGAATGACGCTGGAACGTCGCCACCGCCGGCCTGACAAGATAGAGTGGGTTTCACCCCGGCCAACACTCACCGTCACCAAATTGGGGTACGGACAACCTCGCCACCACCATTGAACGACACACCCCGGCCACCATGCCGCCCACACGGCCATGGTGACCGGACAGTGCCCGAGCCGCGTGCTACGCCGACAAGCACCCCGGCTCCCACCAGCAAGGCCGCCGCCCAAGCATCCGAGCCCCATCCTTGTCCACGGACACACCGTACCGACACGACCGAACAGAAAGGAGCAGAAGACCCTTCCACCCCAAAGCGGAAACCTTGGCAAGGTTGGTGGCCTCGGCGGCCAGATCTGGGCCAGAGTAACTCTGGCGGCCATGGAGCAGCCGCTAGATGCAACGGATGGGAACCCCTGCCCCCTACCCGAAGTCCACTGCCACCGCCGGCAAGCCCACCTGCACACTAACACCTCACCATGGAACCACCCCTGCCTGTCGCGCCCGTCCCTGAGTCCGTAGAGGAGGAGGAAGCTCACTCGAGTAAGCCGCAGACCACCACACACCGGAGCAAGTCCCGCTGTCGCCGTGAGCAGACTGGCCGACCACGGGCTGCAGCCACGCCGCTGCAAGCCACCCACACACAGATCCCAGGAGGACCTCCGCCACCACCCCGCGACACCCGCCGCCACCGGGTACCAAATCCACGAGGATCTGGCCAGGAGCGCGCCGGCCCGCCACCGCCCGATCTGGCCCTGCCGTAGCCGCCATGCTGCAAACCCCCACCAAGTCGCTGCCGAGCCACCACCAGGGACCTCTGACGCCATCCCGACGGAGCGCCGCCGCGCCGCTCGCCCTGCCATAAGCCAGCGCCCCCGCACGCAAAGCCGTCCCGCACCGGCCATGGACCACGGGCGGAGGGGAGAAGAAGGCCCCGCCGCCGCCCCAGCTGGCCGGGCTTCACCCGGCGGCCCCGCTGGGCGGCTGCGAGGGAGATGGACAGAGGATGGGGAGGAGAGGACGGCGAATTAGGGTTCCCCTCGGGGCGCTCGCGGGAGTGCTGCGAGAGGGGGAAGTTTTTTTTTTCTCTGGAGATCCGCAAGCAGCTACTTGTCCCCGAACTCTCGCTGGCCCGTGCCAAACTTTGCTCCTCAGGCCCAGCCCGTCCGCGCGCCTTGCTTCCGCGTTGGGCTGCACAATAGAAGCCCACATGAGCCTTGACCTTATACGAGCCGCTGCCTGCCAATCGTGCTGAGTCGCCGAGTCTGTCCAACGCACGTGCGTTACGCCGTCGCTGTTCCTGCTGATCCGATCTGACCGAGATATTAAACGCAAGCACTGCTACCTCTCATTGCTACCCTCGATTGCTTCTTTGGATTTCTCGCCAACAAGCGCCTCGTCCAGCGTCGCTCCGATGCAACCCGTGTGACCGCGATTATCCACATCCCCGACGACCGAACTCAGTTGGCTGATCTCCCATCGCTGCTTGACACATACTCTAGTGCTCTCACGAGCGTGCAACTTCCCTGTATCAAACATGATCCGATCTGACGAGTTATCTCCTCTAGATCAACGATTTCGCAACCTCCTCAAACCCTTCTCATGATACCACTTGTTAGAATAAATCCAAAGCGCTCCGTCAATCTACCGAAGACCAAGCAATCACATAAGCACCTTTTTACCGAGATTTGTTAACGAGGTTCACCGACATGGCTACATCTCCGGGGCCTGACTATGGGAGTTTCTCCTCATGACACCGCTACAATACCACACCCCGGCAACACGTGCGCCGGCCCACGCCACCGGCTCCCCCGCCGGCTCCCCCGCGTACCTGTGCTATTATGTTGGCATAGGTTACATCGTGTGTCTACCCCCACTATATATGAGAGGCCTAGGATACAAGTGTTCTATCTTACTATGACATGACTCCATATCCTATCTAAACACAATACTAGTAATAATTCAACTATAACCTACCTTGTACACAATATTCAACACAATTCTAACAAAAGATCTTATCATCTGTAGTTTTTAGTAGCAAATAGGTGAGAATGCATTCTGATTGGCTGTTATAGCTCCCTAATTTTTCTCACCGACATATATCTACACGGTACAAAAAGATGCGAGGACCTGCGACTGAGCAGAACACATCCAATTATGAGGGCAGGGAAATACCTTATCTTTTAGTAGGGATCTCGGCATGGCAGACCGAAGAGTCTTCTTCAGCGAATCCATCTTACTGCTGGCTGAGTTGGCATCTTGGATCTGTTTCTCGAGACGCTGATATTCAAGAGCATCCAAGATGTCTTCGGCTTCGTAGACAGCAGATCGGAGCTTGTCTAACAGTGGCTCCAAGCGAACCCTGTAAGTGCTGTCGTCGACTACTTCCGTCACCCGCTGCAGTTGTAAAAGTTGCATATCAAGTATATTCATCTTCTCCGTTGCATCGAAGTCGAGGTGGGCGAAAGCTTTGTTAAGGAGTCTAGAAATGATGGGCGAGACGAGCCAACCTACAACGGACACACCCCATCCTACAGTAGCACCAATGGTGACTGGATCCGCCATGGCGAGCTTTCAGAGAGGGGACAAAAGGCAAGATAGCCAGGCTGCGGCATCTATATGCACCCGATTGGTGGCCTGGTGACAACTAAGACAGATAAACAAGTGCCAGCTGAGAGAGAGGCCTGAACTAATACTTTGTCTCCCACCGGTTTGTTTATAATAAGGGTTTTTATCAGTTTTGCCATCAGTTGTACTACACTACTCAGTTTTGCCACTAAAAAGTTTCGGTGCTCAAAAATGCCACTGTTCCGTCAGACGTGTGCCCAGAAAAGCCATTTTTCATCGTTACAGTCATATCAAAGGACATTGACCGAAGGTAGATGACGAAAATACCCCTATCCCATTTGTCAACTATCCTCTCTTTGTTTAAGTTGTGGGCCCACCTGTAAGGCGGGCATGAAAAGAGAAGACGAAAATTGAAGCCAGGAAGTTTCGGTCCCACGACCACGACCTGGATAGGCGCTCGTGCTAACCAGCTGAGCTAAGGGAAAGTTTTGAAATAGTAGGAAATATATGTCCCATATCCTTTAGGTAAATAATATTCAAACCGAACTGTATATAATATTGTTTCTTGTTGCTCCCTACTCCATTTCTCCAGCTAGCTAATTCATGCATCACACACTAATTGACAGCAACAACAAATATGATAGCAGGAGCATATGATTTTCTAAATTTCTCTGAAAATTTCAGCATGGTGCCTGCCCATTTTTCTGAAAACAACAAATTGCAGCAAGATTTACAAACTTCACATGTGCAGCCTTTTTTTACTTCTAGTATCTGTAATTTCATATCCATCCTGACCATCAGAACACGTGTACCAAATTGCACGCGAGTATCAACAAGGCATCAATCAGCTACTACAAATTCTACACAAGAAATTTCATCTCTACAAGCTAGTATGAGCCACAGACTCACCACGCTAAGAATTAGCATACTCACCCTGCCGGAATTTCAGAGGCTACAACATGCTGGGGCGTCCGGTGGCCGACGCTCCTCACTGATTCAGGACTGTTGTCCGTCGCCATTGCCATGGAACAAATGACTTCAAGGCATCACGCGAGGTGGCGGAGCTGGACTCGGGAGGAGCTGCGGAGTTAGGCGGAAGAAGCGCCGGAGCTGCCTGCTTCGAGTGGCGATGTTGGGCCGGAGGCAGCGCCAAAGCCGCGACGAGGGCGGCGTTGGGCGTGCAGCACGGCGTCTGAGGCGAGTGGAGGCGCGCCGGAGCTGGGCGAGAAGCACGGCGGCTGCAGCGAGTGGAGGCGCACCGGAGTTGGGCGGGCAGCCTGGCGACCGGCGGTTGCAGTTGAGGACCGGCCGGCGGCGTATTGGCTAAGGTTAAGTACGAGTACATCTGTTCCTCAAACAAATGCTTTGATTGGATGTGATGGTTAGTTTGCCCGCTCAACACACTCATGTCTCTGGTTCGATGCGCCTTGTCGCTCTTTTTCCTCGTAATTTCTTTTCCTCTCCTTCACAAATTGGGCCCACACCGTGGGGAGGGATCTTGCAAATGAGACCAGGGGCATTATAGTCATATAACGTGGTCAACGTCCATTGACCTGACGGTAACGATGAAAAATGGTTTTTTAAGCACGCGCCTAACAGAACAGTGGCATTTCTGAGTAGTGAAAAATTTAGTGGCAGAACTGAGTAGTGTAGTACAATCGATAGCAAAACTGATAAAAATCCTTATAATAATGCTAATTGGATCCCGACATGCCTATATACTACTAAGGAGAAAACAAGTAACATAGTGACTCATGAACAATATAATATAAGCCGAATAAGACTTTGTCCAATTTCAGATTGGACGACTAATTTCTCTTGCGTAACGACTCTGCTACCCACTGGCATGCTTTACGACAAGGTTATCTTATTAACAACACGCACGCATAATAGTATATACTAGGACAGTACTACGCGGTACTCTTGACCTCGAAGGCAGCAGGAAGTTTCCAGCCAGGTTCGTACGGCACGGGTCAGCTTCATCATCTTATCATTGGTCTGAAAATTATTGCCGACCAGGCAACACACGGTCCAGTCTGTATCTATTGGCCTCTGCTTTGATGGAGGCCACACAGACAACTCCTTTCTCATGCAGCAATGTCAGTCTCATGCTTGAGAAATTCAACGCCTCGGATTCCTGCAGCTTTCTCACGAAGCAAACCTAACAGGAGAGTGCGGGCTTTTGGTGGCCACGCTACGGGCGGACTGAAATCTTGTGCGTCTGATTGGGCTTTGAGATTGGAAATCCATCGGTTCGTGCCTGTTAGAATAAATTTGAGACATATCGTCGATCCTCTGAAGATCAAACAATCACACGAGCACAACACTGAGATTTGTTAACGAGGTTCACCGATATGGCTACATCACTGAGGCCTAACTATGGGCGCTCCTCCCCGTGATACCGTCACAATACCGCATACCGGCCACCCGGGCGCCGGCACACGCCGCCGGCTCCCCATGCGTGCCTGTGCTATTATGTTGGCATAGGTTACATCGTGTGTCTACCCCCAGTTTATATGAGAGGCCTAGGATATAAATGTCCTACTAGGACACGACTCCGTACCCCGTGAACACAATACAACTCATAGTCCAACTGTAACCTACCTTATACACTATATTTGACACAACTCTAACAAACTCCACATTAGCGAATATTCTCCATCACTTTGAATTCGTCAATGCGTCAAACTTCCATGTACATTGGACTTGAGCTTATCCCATGAGCATTGCTGCTACTTCAAGACTCCATATGACTCCACCTGCAACTTGTAGTCTCTTCTTTTCTTGACCACAATCAACACTCGAGCAAAATTAAGTTCCTCTTACTCTAGTTTGTGCTCCCAACTTCCAGAGTATCAGTCCAACGCCATCACACACTGATCACTGACCTACGTGAAAGTGAACAACTTACATATTGGGTGTCACACGTAAGATTTAGCTGAACCCAACATCACCGCTCCTTTCCCGACCGCCTGTCTAAAACTTGAAGGAATTTCACCATTGCTTGTAGTCATCCCGAGTCAAATTCACAGTTGTCTCACCACATGTATGACCACCAGAGCTCTGGCCCGTCTCAATGCTCTGTGCGTACCGCACGCCTCGCCGCCATTACCGCGTCGAGCCTCTGCTGTCCCGGTCGAGTCTCAAGGGTCGCGGACCCACACAGCTTAACCCGCACTGCAGAGTACCACTGATCATCACCGACCGATGATGAGTTTCACGCTTCCATCAGACCACTGGGCTCTGTTGGAATAGATGTATAGGAGTTGTATAGGGATAGAAGTTTGTTTAAATTTTGTACTTCATCTCTATCCCTTCTTCTCTTTCTCATCTCCTTGTAACGACCGTCCTGGTCGATCTCCAGATCGTTCCCTTGATCCCCCCTGTAACTTGTATGCCAAGGCTTTGCCCAATATATACATGCGGCCCGAGACAAAGGGTTCTACGCTTCCCATATACTTTTACATGGTATCGGAGCCAAGAGGTCTTGAGTTCAAGACCCGGCTGGCGCAATTAAATTGCAGCCCACTTTCGGTCCACGTTTAGGCCTGAGGGTGCCACACGTGAGGGGGAGTGTTGACGTATAATGTACTGCCTAGTCTCTTCCATCAGATTGGTCTTTTGGTTGCATTGGCTAGAGCATGCACTTCTACAGATCTTCTATCATCAGCACACCCTGCCCAGTCAGCATCAGAGTATGAATATAAGGCCCTGGCTAATGCTACAGCTGAAGTGATGTGAATACAAACATTACTCTATGAACTTGGAGTTAAAACTCCACAGGCTACGAGATTATGGTGTGATAATATTGGTGCAACATATCTCTCAGCAAATCCTGTTTTTCATGCACGAACAAAACACATTGAAGTTGATTTCTATTTTGTCAAAGCAAGAGTAGCTCGAAAGCTTCTGGAGATTCGGTTTATTCCCACAGGAGATCAACTCGCAGATGGATTTACAAAACCCCTTACCAAGAGAAGGTTGAATGAATTTAAGTACAATCTTAACCTTGGCAAAGCTCCTTGAGGTTTAGATTGACGGGGAGTGTTGGAATAGATGTATAGGAGTTGTATAGGGATAGAAGTTTGTTTAAATTCTGTACTTCATCTCTATCCCTTCTTCTCTTTCTCATCTCCTTGTAACAACCGTCCTGGTTGATCTCCCGATCGTTCCTCGATCTCCCCATGTAACTTGTATGCCAAGGCTTTGCCCAATATATACATGCGTCCCGAGACAAAGGATTCTACGCTTCCCATATACTTTTACAGGCTCCAGTCTGAACTACGTGTGCCTCGCTTTTTCCCGCTGAACAGGCTTCGATTCTCTGGATCCTTACACCCTAGCCCCTCAATCCAGCTCCGAGTGAAGTCCTCTAGACTCCAACTCTACCTTCAACATGACTTCATGGTAGATGATCAGTCCACCCTCGCGCCCCGTCGACTTCAAGCTCCGTGTGTACATCACCTTGAATCAACCCCGCGCCATAGTCTTGTCGAAGCCACACAAGCCCTCAGGCATGTGCCACATGTTTCCACGTCCCAGAAGTTGGTCACCATCAGCATCACGCTCCTATGTCGTCGCCGATCCCACCACTGTCTTCTGTACAAACCGACTTGCATTGATCCATCAGACTGAGAAGTCTGACCCAGGCTCCCGAATCATTCCATGAATTTCCATCCATCACATAATATTTTCATCTTAGCTAGCTTGCCATCCTGCAACGCCTTCAAGCATATCTGTTGTGCCAACAAATCTTTCATCCGTGTCTGCCATAACTCAAGGTTTTCAGTTCCGTAAACTTCTCCACCTCAAACCTGGTACCCGATGGCGCCATGGTTCTTTGTACGGCTGACCTTGCGCTAAATTATCTGAGCTTTCTTCAGGTGATGTCCAAATACACAAACAAAACCTGACGTGGTACACCCTTATGCACTAATAGCAATTCCAACCAAAAGAAAATCTTCTGGTAATCATGTGATGGCTCCCTTGCACAACTC